TTCTCTAAAACAAAAAAGAATTTTGATTATTTTTAATAGCGGAGTCCTACAACCCTAATAAAACTTTCTATATACTTCTTTTTTGTTTATTCTTCATAGTTTTCTTTTTTTTTAAAAAGTACTTTAAACTGTATAAATAATGTAAAATTAAATTTATTTAAACAGCCAATCATACGAATGTCTGCCTATGAGATACGAACAATTTAATTTTCAGTACTGAAAAATTAATACACAACTTCCAAAGACTGACATAAATGTTGAATATTGTGCATACTTCTATTTATTATTATGAGGAATCATGGGTCATCATTTAACAAGATTACGTAGATACATCTTGATAATTAGATACAAAAGAGCTATTCTTAGTTCGGACATACAATATATAATACTTTCGTTACATCTATTAATAGTGTAATATCCGTATAGAAGCATGACCACTAGATACAATCAAGCTAAAAAGGTATTAAAACTTCTTGCAAACTGGAGCTTTATGTTCTAAAAGCATTTCGTTCTGAGGAGCTAATCCAACACAAGCACGGAAGAAATTTTCCATTGCCATACGTTGCTTGCTTAACGCGTTGACAACAGGTGTGCCAGGTGGAACAATTGGAGCTTTTAACATGAAGCTTAAGATAGACAAAACGGAATCAAAAGGTTCGAATTCCTCCATGTCTTTGACACGATATTCAATACGAGTCATTAATTCGGCAATAATAGCCAAATCCAAGATAAGGGGTGAAGCCAAGAGAGAATCCTCACATGTATTATACAACGAAATAGTCTAATAAATGTAATTCAATGTATCAAAAACGTATCTAAATGTAAAAATAATAATAATAATAATAAATAAATAGATAAACATCACTTACATTCCTACCACCCATGAATATTTCCGAAACATATTCATCCAAGGCACGCTTGGAATCACCTACTGTTGGTACATATTTAATGACGACAACTATTCACATTTAAAAGAATATTTAAGTTATAATAAATAATATGAATAAATAAAACTTAACTTTGATAAGATATTAAATATTACCGTGATCGGGATGTTCGCCAGGTTTATAAAGAATTTGATTTGCCGCAACCATATCGTCAACCACATTACTTTTAGAAATTTCCTTAGAACGGAATTGTTGTGGTGCAGATAAATTTTTACCATCATTATTACCAAGATGGTTATAAGAAGTGATACCAATTGGTTTAATACCAGCGTTAACCAAAAAGTCTACCAATACAGATTTAACCTTTGTTTGACCAGACTTGAAATCGTCACCAGCAATGTAAACGCGTTCACGTTCAGCGAGTTCGATACAACCAGGAACAAAAGTATTTTGGGGTGAACCATTAATAAATGGAGTTTTTTCAAGAATACAGGCCAATGCAAAAATAGTAGAAGGAGCAATTTCTGGGTGACTTTGTTCAACAGCTTTGAGAATATTTTCAGCGGTATCATTGATGCCCGGAATAATTTCGGAATATCGTTCAGTATTAGCAGTCCAGACAACGATCACTTTATCGAGTTGATTAGCAGCTTTAAATTGACGAATGTCATTACGAATATGTTCCAAGTGTTCTTTTTTATTATCACTAGGAATAAGGTTATCAGCTCGATCACATTGGTTAGCAGCTATAAAGTCAGGGTAATAAATAGAAGGAAGCGGTTTCATTTCTTGAAGCATTGGAGCAACTTGACGTTGAAGATCATAATCAAGGACTTGAGCACGTTCCATAGCTTGAGCAATATTGAAAGAGCTAATATCCCAACCACCAAGAACCAGGTCATTGGGATGAACCATGGGTAAAATTTGGCTAAAGGGAATATAGACATCACTTCCTTTTGCATCAACACCGAGCTTGAGTGTTGAAGATTGAACAACAGATCCAAAATAATTTGGAGATTTAATGCCTTCCTTGGTACGCCAAGTGATGTTTTTACGGTTAGCAACAATACTGGCGGTCAAGGTAGAACCATTATTACCACCCCAACCAACCATCATCAATCTGTAAAATAAATATACATTTAGAATGAAATGAGGGCATCTAATGTGCCAAAGTCAAGGCCGATGATTTTCTGTGATTCATAAAAAACAGCAGAATTTTTTCTTATGTAATAAACACAGTTCTAGAAAACATGGAGTATATCACAGATTCGACCATAATTTCTGTATCAGTTTCATTGGACTTATAAACATTGAACTTATAGATTTCCAATTGAAGCATATAAGTTCAATTCAATTCAAATTACCAGACTTGCAAGGGTGACCAACACTATTCTATAAAATCCCGAAGAGGCATATAATAAATTACGAGCATGTTGTCTGAGATTACGGAATTACATGTCTTTTAAAAGAATTAGATGAATTTTCCTTATTTATAATTGCATTAAATCACAAAAGTTACAGAATGGCACCACGGTAGCGTAAAGAATTTTGTAAAAAAAAAAAAAACTTTATCACGATAAATCACAGAGTTTGCCAATAATCACACGAAAATTTAACTATCAGAAAATAATTGGCCCTGACCAAAGCTAATACACGTCACTCTGGTTATACCAACATCTGGATATAACGACAGCATAGTAAAATCTTTCTATACCGACATTTTTTTTCAAAAATTTAATATAAAATGTCGGTATAATTCACTGTACCGACATTTTGAATTTTTTTACTAATGTCTCAAAAATGTCGATATAACCAGAGTGACGTGTATTCATCAATTACACAAAGTTTCCATTTTAAGAGATACACATACTTACCCAACTTTAGGGACTTTCAATTCAGTTTTAAATTGATATTTTGTTTCAGTGGGCAAAACTTCAAAGGTGTCATTGACATCATTTTTGGAAACGATAGCATTATTATACACATAATCAGTAATAATGTGTGTATCAGTATATTTAACATGAGGAGCAGTAACTTTAAAAACAGTACGAGTATCAGGAAGTGTCACAGGGGTTTCGGAGTGGAGTCGAGAAAAGTGGGGAGACATGGTATAAGAAGTTTGCAAGGAATTTTTGGTAATGAATGTATAAAAAATGTAGCACGAAATATAAAAGAGATTGAAGAAATGTAAAGGAAGCTAATGCTAGGGACTAGTTTTCGGTTTTGCAGCGACTCTCTTCCGTCCCCTGTGAGGATTGTGTAACGAACTTAGAAGATTTGAGAACGTGTTGGGCAAATTTTTTAAGGCGAAAGTATTATCGCCTTAGTCAAAATTCTATTGTTGTATACGAATTCGAGTATGGAGTGTACGAAAAGTATAAAAAAATATAATCGCAAAGAGATGGAAACAAGTGTCAAAAATTTTTTTTATTTCATCAATTTATAGAATTCAAGATGGTTGGGGTGATGTCGAGATAAGAATTTAATATATTATCATAATCGTGATGCTTTATTACGATAGCTAATTACGGGAATATTCCGTATTATCTTGCCACTTTTAGGTGGGACGCGATTATGTAAATCAAACTATATCATTGATGCACAGCCTTATCGATAGTTTCGGAAAAGACCAGTATTACATCTCAAATCTTTTTCTTTCTTTTTTAAGAAAAATAGTAGATTAAAAAATTTTTTTCATGTTTGAACACGTAAAAAGAGATGGCTTTATAACTTTGCCTGTAGATATAATATAGGCTAATTGGGTAAATTCACCATATTTATTCGAAATATGTATGATTCATATATGAAGCAAATAACAACGCAAATGAATACAGTAATAAATCTCCGTTTCGCTTCGCTTTGGACGATCATATTATGTGATCTAAAAAAATTTGGGCGGTGAATTTTACCCAATTATATTAATTGGCTTTTAGAACCGTTACGTTAGGTTACAATTCGCGACAATTTGATTATTATTATTATTATTATTAAGATGTATATTATAAAAATATTTATAAATTTTATTGTATGACTACGGATGGTTTTGATTGCCATACGCGTAATCATATTAATCATCGCATTAATAACGTTATTACACGAAATATGTTGATTTCACGTGTAAAACAGGTAAGATACACAATTAGATTGCAAATTGAACATTTGTTAAAAGTTGCTAAAAAAAAATATTACATTTTTAAAAATGAATTTTTGTAAGGAAAAAAAAAAAATTATTTGAAGTATTTTGAAAAATATTTTGATATGCCTAAACGCTGTATGATACAGAAACCGAGAAATGACCAAACACGTGATATTTTCTAAATAAGAAATCTAAATCTAAAAAAAAATTAACATCGCATATTCTCGTTAAACAAACACTGTAATAATAAATAATGATGACAATGTTCTTTTTTGTTTGGAATTACAAATTCCGTTCGTTTTAGATGTACACTTTTTTTTTTTTTATTCGTTTGAGTCTATAAGAGACGACAGAGATGAAGTAAGCGATTTTGACCAACCACAAATAAAAATCACAAAGTTACATTAGTCTCAAAATTACCATGAATAGTTGTAAGTTCCACTTGTCTAGGAAGATCATTGATCATAGAATTCCATCGATAATGAGATACTAATACAGAGAGTGATATGATATTATTATTTAATTATTAAGCAAATCACGTAACAAATTTAATCTGAATAAAAACTTACATTTTTTACGATCATTTCTTATTTTTTCAATCATCTCCCTATCTATTCTACCTGTTGACATTGTCATGCCTAGAAATTTAAATTTAAATTTAAATTATTAGCTTAATATTGATAAGATTTCATTTAACAAATTATGAATATTAAAATTAAACATACTTCTATTTACAGACTGCCTTCTAGTGATGCGAGGACGGGATTCTTCCTGAATTCTTTCTTTGCCCTTATCAGAAGGGATGGGTGATGAAAATTCTTCTGGTTCTGATGTGAAAGAAGGCGTCTCTGAATCTTTTTTGGAATCTGACATGATATACATACGGTTAATTTAACTTGCCGTAAAAGACTAACAAATAAAAATTAATAATATATACTTTGTTTTCTAACTATCATGTGTATTTCACCAGTTGTTGAATCAAAAAGTGTGTAATGATCAGAATTTTGAGGTTCAGGAAGGTTCGGAAAATGCAGTAATCTACTAGTGTAGAAAGCTTGAGGGTGTACAGCGTTGGAATGGGTAAGTACAGACTTGACGTGACCAGTTTTTACTTTCTTAGTCTTGGGACCTTGGAAAGGAGCTTTTCCGTCAGCTAGGTAGCGCCATTTGTATGACACGTTTAACAGTTCATCAATTGTTGGTCGTTTAGCTGGATCACAATCCAAGCAACGAAGCATTGCAGCTACATAACCTTTAGGCGTTCCGGATATAATTGGAGGCCTTAAACCTAAACAAATTTCACGAGCCAATTTATAATCATGAGCCCTATCGGCAAAAGGTGGCTCGTTCGATGACATTTCCCACATTATCATTCCGAGACTGTATATGTCAGCCGCTGCAGTGTATTTTCCACCCCTCAACACTTCTGGAGCTACATACGGAAGCACACCATAACGATTAGAATTTGTATCTTTAGTTTCATTTACCGGACGGCACATTCCAAGATCAGTGATGTAGACCAACTTTTCATGTCTCAGAATGTTACCACTAAATTTTTACAAATAATAATAATACAAAATATATATATATATCAACATATAAAATCAAAAAGATTTATATAAATAATTTAATAAATTATTTATTTATACTATACTATACCTGTGGAAATCACGATGAACCAATCCAGAATCATGAATTCCTTTCAATGCTTTTCCGATACGATCAAATAATACAATTTTTTCGTCCCAATTTAAATCAGCGAAATAGTTGGTAAGATAATGACGTAAACTTCCTTGTTCAGCATATCTCATCACCATTACATAACTTCCCGTTTTAGGATCTTTACTGACACCGTAGCAATCGACTATTCCAGAGCCAAGACTACAACGGTGATAGGCTCTAAGCTGTATGTAATAACAATAACAATAACATAAATAAATATAAATATAAAGTTGATCACATAACCGAGTACTATCTATCAAGTACTATACAACATGAAAGCAAGTTTCTGAAAGAGTAAAATTAATTACCTCGTCCAGAAAATCTTTAGTTAAATTTTCAGAATTATCCAGAAGTTTGAGAGCAACTTTACCCCAACTTTCAGAATTTGCAGAATAAACAACACCCATACCACCTCTTGCAACGTATTCGATATTAGTAAAATTTTCATAAGGGATCCATCGTATATAATCATATGGAGTATCAGCATTTAACTGAGTGTCTCTAATAAAGTTATCAAGGTCTTCATTGCCACTTGTCCATTTATTAAATTGGGACTTAAGTTTGCTTGTATCACACGGTTTACACCATCCTATTGTTTTGCGTGGTTCACCACATTTTCCACATTTGCTCACTTTTGAAATTGGAGTAGAATTTTGACGTGTAGGGAGAACTGGTTTAGAAAAGGCATTAGAAGGTATAGAAACACCCGCTTCCTTTGCTAATAAATAATATTAAAAAGAAGGTGATTAGTTGTGGAAAGTTAATACTCAGAAGTTATTGCTTGAGAAATGATAAATACCCAAAGATTTAAATACAGTTGAATAATCCATTTTTAGTTGTAATAAAATACCCTGGCGTAATCAATATGTCAGGATTGTAAATAAAATAAGGTAACTCTTTACAAAATTTTTTACAAAAAAAATAAAGTTTATAAACAGGCGAGGCGAAGTCGCTTCTGATAATTATTTAAAAAGAAAATAATAAGGAAAAGAAACGTCTTAAAAGAAATTTAAAGAGTTAAGCAGAGCGCAGAATAAAGAGTAAAAATAGCGAATCAAATTTATTTGATCGATTTAAAGATGGGCGGTGTAAAAACTCAAACACAAGAAGCTCCTTAAATCAAACTTTCTAATGTTTGTGGCAAAACTGCTTTTTGTTTGATTGACTCGTGCTTCGTTACCATTTACTCAACATGAATAGATACGTATATAGTCATACAACATACCACATATATTACATATGTAGATATTTTTAATATATATAGTAGTATAAATAAATTTTTACAATCGCCTATATAAAAAAAAAAAAAAAAAACAGGATAGCACCGGTTATAAAAAAATATCAAAGACGCGTTTTTCGTAATTCATATGAAATCACTCTTTTAGGGTTCTTTACAGACTTTTTAAGGATCTTTTCACCATTAAAAAATTAGAAGATTTTTTCTCATTGATATATTTGATCGTATTGTATATCTTTGTAAAGTTTTTAATTTCGACTTTTGTCGCAAGGTTTGCTTTTTTTTTTACTAAAATATCATGGATTATATGGATAGTACGTAGTAGGCAGTAGGTCATAAAGTTGCATACTCATGCATGTCTAAAGCATGTCTAAAAGTGGATCAGAATAAATTATTTATAAGAAATCGTTAAAAATCCATTATCTGTTATTACCGTTAGTAAGTGCGTACGTACTACGTATGTAAGTACAAGTTCATACCTGATACATGCGCACAGTAGTAACATAACAAATAGTTATTGACATCATCTTATCAGAACTAGCATTATCTAACAATAGTTAGTTGCATCGGGAACCTTCTTTTGATCTTTCCTCTTAAAGAACTGGCAGTGAAGCAATGGTAAAATCAGGTGTGCATTTCAGAAAAAATAATTTTTTACGAGTGGACGCCAAACTAGTATTGTCGTATAAGTCTCTCTTTTGGGGATTGGTTTATGCGTAACCTGTCGTTTCATTACATTCTTTTTTTAATAAAGGCGTGTGAATTCGTCTTTGGAAAAAAAAACATTGCCTTTTTCGATTCCCCTTGACTTACAATATATATCATTAAACCATCTTTGGCCTTTTTACCAAACTTCATTTGTCATTTCATATCTACTCGTGATATTTTTACACATCACACGTTTTGTGCATTATTAATAATTTGGTGAACGACTTAAAAAATTTTTGCTACATAAACTTATACACTACTTACCAGGTACAGTACGTACATCCCCATTCCCTTTGATCTTCACCAGTTTTCATTATAATAGACATTTTTATAATGAAGATTATCACAACAAAAAAAAAAAAACAAAACAAAAAAAAAGAAAAAGAAAAAAAGAAGCCTAATTTTCGAAGTTTAGAATTTATTTTTATAAACGGAATATTTCTAAATATAATTTTTTTTGTTGTGATTCTCGGTGAATAACAACTCATGTTCGTCATTTGTCTTGATAGTTGAATTAACTTCAACGATGGATTTTCGCTATCATTCGATGATCCCGACACTCTGATCTTTATTGAATGCTTCGTTTATCTTGGCGCATTATCTATAACTTTTTTGTTGCTGAAGAAGTTCTGTAGATCAATGCTAAATACGATACGTCAGAAACGTGATTAATAACTCGGTTCACGAGTCAACGAACGGAACATTTTTATGTCAATAATCTTTCTGGATGTACAAAAAGTTGACGCCGATTTTAGTGTCACTCACATTGATAAATTGACTAGCTTTCAGTGTATTTATTATAAAGCCTTTTTAATAAAAAATGCATCAGCTCATTTGTAAAAAATTTTTTTGGAATTCCAAAATGATGATCCTCAATTTATTGCGAAAAATTGAAATTCAATTTACAGTATTTTTAATAATATATGCGGTATATATATATGTATATATATATCTAATACGTATTGTAATTAACACTAATACGTGATAAACGATAGAATATAGCAAACTAAATTATTTGATAAGACTTTGAATATCAATCTTAATTATATTTGATAGGTTAAAATTGGTTTAAATCTAATTTTAACTTAAATTATTTTAAATTTTAGAAATTATACTATATACGCATAAACATAGTATATATAGTTAATTTTTTTAAAATGCATCTAAGGTGTTTTATATTTAATTAATACGAGATAATCTAGGTAAAAATATTTAATTCTTTTAAAACTTTTAACTTTAAATATTAGCATAAATATCTGCGTTAAAAATTTTTATACGTATATAAAACTTAAAAAAAACAAAAAAACATATACAGTATAATACAGTATATATATATAATATATAATAAATATAAAATATTGTTTTTTAACAATTTTAAACAAATTTGTTTTTAAAAAATCTATAAAAATTTTTTAATAACATGTATATACGGTATATATTTAAAAATAACAATTATATTATAATATACTGTATATATAGTATTTAATTCTATATTATACGTATATACAGTAGTATATATATATATATATTGTATACATAGTATACTATATATAAATTTTAAATTGTATATTTATAAACTAAAAATAAACAAATATAAAAAAATTTTTAACTAAAAAAATTATTTGTTAAACTTATAATTTTTATATAATACAATATTATAGTTTGTATAAAAAAATAATAATTTTTTTTAATATTAAAATAAGATTTAGTTTTTAAATTTATAGTTTTAATACAATATTATAGCTTGAAAAGCTAATAAAAAAAAGCTTATATATAGTCAAGCCTCGATATAATTATTATATAGCTTGAAAAACAAGAATCTAGTAATTATAAAAAGTTGTAACTATATAAAAGTCAAATTTTATATATTTTATAATAGTTTAAATTAAAAAATAGTATAATTATATCAAGGTTGTGACTATATTAAACATGATTATAACAAAATTTAACTACAGTATATATTTTATTTTTTTTTATTTTTTTTTTTTTTATATATATTTTTTTTTACTATTTTATTTCTTTTTTTACTTTTTTTATTTTCTTTTAAAAGAGAATAAAAAAGTAAAAAAAGTAAAAAAATATATAAAAATATATATATAAATAGAAGAAAAAAATAAAATATACAGTATATATAAACTTTTTTCAATTAGCTTTTTTATATAAAAAATAATAATTTTTTAATATTAAAATATTAAAATATGAGAATAAGTTAGTAGAAAAGAGACAAATCATTTTTAGCAAGATTTTTTTAATTTTTAAATTAATATATTTTAACAAAAATTATATATCACACCTATAATGTTTAACATCACAATAATAAACTGCAGTATAATATATAAATCAAAATAATTTTTATTAAAACAAAAATTAAATTTGATTAAGATTAGAATTAGGATTAAAGGCTAGGATAAGATATAAGCTTAGTTTATACTAAAATTTTGTAAAAGATTTTTTTATTAGAGCTTAAAAAGTAATTTTATAGACAAAATTTTAAGTTATGCTCTTTTTTTAAAAAAAAACAAAAGCCTATATTATATTTAATTTTTATATTACACTGCAGCTTATTGTCTAGAGCATAATGAAAGATGCTTAATTTCTATGCAAAGTAATACAAAAATTATATTTTTGATACTTTAAAAGTATCATTCTTGACACTTTTATAGTAAAAATATTAAAAATATAATTTTGAATTTTTTGTTTATCTCTGTATATAATACAACAAAATTATATATAATTTCGTTTAGACTTATAATAGTTTCTGTTTTCTAGTAATAAACATTATTGTAATATTGAATATTAGTAATGTGATTTAGCAATATTATGGGTGTTCTCAAGTAGCACACTCAATTAATTAGATAATGATCGTAATGGTGCTCAACCGTTATGTAAAATTTAA